CGTCGACGAATTTATTTTTATTACGCTGGCTCCCACGTTAGCTTGAAATATTCTATTGAAAATATCGATAGCGTATTACGTTCTTACTGTACTACAAAACTCAAATATTTCAAAGTTCGAATATTATCGTAAAATATGAATTTGCAAAAAACAGCAACAACAACAACAAAAAATAATACATTTTAGTAGGAAACTACAATCTACAACCATAGTGGAGTTTATATTTTAAAAAATATTATCAACGTCATTTATTAATATTAATGTTACTCACTCTGTTGTAATATAAATCTACGTTAATGTTATTTACATTAAAATTAATAGGTCTGATGAAAAACTTTTATCTTCGGACCCGCAACTTTGTCATTTAATTACACCGTGGCAACGAAAAGTATTGACACGTGTCCTTATTTTCCAATGGAGCGTTCGTTTATCAGGCGTCGACATTTCATTTTCATAGTATCAAAATTAGCAGTCGTATGAAAATTTTGGCGCTCATTATCATTGAATGATATGAAATTTAATATACTCGAACCTAATTAATTAATATGTAAATACTCTAATAAATACAATGCCTTATATATAAAGACACATATATATGTATGTACGTGCTAATACTTTGCAACTTGAGAGCTCCAAAGTCCCAAATTTTACAATCTAAGAAACTTGGAATCCCTGTCACTGAAACTCCAAGATTCCAAGACTTCGAAACTTTGAAATTTTCAAATCTTTCAACGGCATTCCAGACATGGAATTTTTACGTCAAATTATTCTTTCAACGCTCAATTATTCTTCTTGCTCAAAAGAAAAAAAACACACACACACAAAAGAAAAACTGTCCAAGAATAAAACTGTAAGAAAGAACCGTGAGCGCGTTTTAACGTTACCGACGGAAACTAAACGTCACCGTAACTCAGTCACGCGTGTAAAAACTTTCCGAAACGAAGGCCCGGCGAGTCTCGAAAAATCATTACCGATTGTTATGCATTGCCGGGGCGATTAATTAAAAATCACAAATTAATTACACGTTGCACGGGTCATTAGTTATGATTAATACGTTGCACGAGCACCACGTGTGATTTTAATTAAACTTATTACGTTTCAATTTCGATACGTACGTACATGCATATTCCGCGAGTCGAACGCGCCCCGTTACGATCAAGGCTTTCCACCTGTTTTTCCTCCCTCTTCTTTCTTTTTTCTTTTTTTTAATTTCTCTTTCTTGTTTTCAAATATTATTTCTAGAGACCGATGCCACCGACACAGAGAGACAGACACACCGTAACACACACACACACACACACACACACACACACACACACGCGCGCGTAAAAGGCTGGCAGAAAATCGCCAACTCGTTGGCATTGGCAGGCGATTTCCGGATAAACATTTCATCGAACCAATAATGATGCAGCCGACCAGTTATACGGGAATTAGTACGGCACGATTAGTTTATTATTCTTTTATACGAGGAAATGAGCCTCCCGTTTGTCGATGCCCGCATTTCTACCTCTAGATTCGTTCCGCTCTTCATTTATTATTACTTCGATTACGCAATGCTGATTATCACTGAGTGGACCTCCCCTTGGAAGGAAGTATCATGGCCTCGGATTTCTTTTACTCCGTATGATTTTCATGGTTATTTCATGGAAAATACTTTAATGTTGCACGTGTCGTACCAGACGTTTAAACCTCTTGCGTTGGAATAACGTACGTCGAGAATTCATTGTCCCAAAATTGTAATATTTTCTCAGTTTTTGAGTATATTTAAGTAAAAACAAAATAGGCAAAGCAAACAATAAATTTATCACTTCTCAATAATTTCTATCCAGCAATATCGTACCGACGAGTTCAAAAAGAAAACGGCGAATTATTTGGTCCGCAGTGGTTAAAATTCCCTCGGCACTGTAACGATTGTCACGATTACGGTGCTATAGTTTTTTGAAATTAATTTAATGAAAGTTGCACAATTTTGAGACATTTACTGCGAACGTGTGTTTGGTAAAAAAAAAAATAATATCCAGAATGAACAGAATTAACAATATTAAAATGTATCAAAAATCATCCTAGTGCAACTTATAATTTATAACAGATTGTTAAAGCTTGTTAATACACAATTTGAGACTTCACCAACGACAACAGTCAGGTCTTAGAAAAATAATCAAGTTTCGTTCTAATGAAATATCGAAGCATTTTATACATTTTATAGGGTTAGTCACAAAAGAGTATGTCATACTCTTGCAATTCAGGTAACACTTTCCACAAGAATGTTCACCGCTTCGATAGACGTACTTTTAATTACAATATAAATATTCGTGAAATCTATAACGCAATCACGATAACAAAAACTGTATCTTTCCAGGACACACTCGAACACGAGATAGTTAATTCCTTTTTCTTTCTTTTTTTTTTTTTTTTCAAGCTATCGCCAGATCGATGACCACGAGTGCTTTTGAATATTTACAACATTCTCTTTATTTCCTTTTTTTTTCCTTTCCCCGATTCTGGCTCGTAGTCCAGCGCGGAAACGCGCGGTAGAAATTTCGTCGTTCCGCCGCGATTAATTTCCAACGAAATTATCTCATTTTTTAAACGGCACCGAATTTTGATATGCTGCCGCGTTTTATTATCCGATTCCAATCAATCGTTCTGTACGTGTCTCGAAAGGTAGGCGAGCCCCTATTTTTTTATTCCAAGCACACCATTGCAATCGGTCTCGATAATACAATATCCCTCTGTGACGTGTGTTTTAAACGAGCTCGTTAATAAACACTTTAAAAATATTCATTTTCGAACGAACGCCCCGGCCGTGGATATTGTTTCATTGTCGTTAAACAATCGGCCTCGGTAGTTTCAGGCGGCCAATAAGAATCGCCGAAATAAGTATACTGGCCATTAATTTCTTAACTTTCGGCAACACTCGTTCAAACAGTTCGCGACTTTCTCTGGGTTTTTTCGTCGGAAATTCTCTGCGCGAGTAATTTATATTACTACGAGTAAACTGTAAAATTGTAAAATGAGATGAAAGTTATGAAATTATAAAACGCCTTGGATCGGTTTTTGTTTAAACGTGTTTGATTAAAATCGTCTACAAGAAGAGAATTATACACGGTAGAGTTAAATAATATTTTCGACTTCGACGGAACACTTCGTTCCGATAGTTTGCAGCCTTTTGCCTTTTCAGAATAGACTTGTCAGAAGATCACGAGTGATTGTGAATCTTAAACATTAACACTTGACATTTTTTCGACAGGATTTCCTCCTTCTTAGATTTTAGAATTTCATGAGATTTCAAGAAACTGATGTTCTAAAGACAATAAATTGTTGCTTGGCGTTCGACTCGCGTGTAATTCACGGAACTTATTCGAGGAAAAAGCGACAATTTATTACAACGTTCACTCGAGCCTCGCGTAATTAGAAAAGCAATCTAAACGATAGAAACCGCGAAAATAAAAGACGTGACTGAACAAACGCTCGGAAATAAAATTCGACGATTCGAATCTCAACGAATGAAACGTCGTGTTAACACTCGTCTGACAGTCTGCGACATACAGTTCTTGTTTCTTTACGTCGTCCACTATTAAGTAAAAGATACAACAATTAATCGTCTACTACAACGACTCGTGCATGCATAAGTATACGTTCGTGCTCGTACACATTCACCGAGATCCCTATTCAAAGCGTGCATTAATTACCATTGGTGCGCATAAAGCGGCTAGCGGTCGAAACGATTGCAACTGCGTAGTCGGTCCATTGAAATTGACATTTTTCGAAGCATAAAGATTCGCCCCAGAATCCTTTTATTATTCGCTACGGCACAGCAGCGAAATGAATTCACGATAAAAATTATCCAAAGCATAGAGATCTTTATGCCAAAGAGACTGCTAACTTTCGTTGACTCTGCACGAACACCTTTTATCGTTTTTCCGATGTTTTAATTGGGTCCGTTAGATTTTTAAGCTCCTCATACAACAAAGTCAAAGTTTGCAAAATTTTCAAGCGTCGAGAAAATTTTCATGACAACTCCTGTTCCATTTTCTTTTTTTTTTTTTTTTTATTTTTTTGAAGCACAGCGGAACAGTTTTTCTATGTTATACAGTCTTTGCAATTTGAAAAGTTCTCCGGAACAATAAAACTCTGTTCTCATTGTATTTCAAAAGGTTGCACTGTATATAGTAAAATTGTATTTGCGACAATGTTTCTGCAACATCGTATCGTAATAATTATTTTCGAAACGTTTACAAATATGACGCAACTGTCAGCAGAATGGATTGATGTTGCGCGCATCGTCGACGAAAGGTTAACAGGTGAGCTGCGTTGTGTCTGCGAAACAACGTATAATGGTAAATCACGCTGTTCGGATAACACGTATAAATATTCTATTTCACTTTTGCGAGTGAAAGACGCTTAAAATGTCAATTTCAAGCACCCATTTCGTTGCGGACTGGCTGAAACGATACTTGCGACAAGAATCAAGCAACAGACATAATGAAATATCATTACACAAACGATTTGCGTGCGCGAGGATTTTTCTGCGCTTACAGAAAGTAATCTGTAAAAATTTATATTACAATTATGATTACTTACAGAAAATAATTTATAGAAATCGTTTCTATCCTACCGAGCTTCCGTCTTTTTAATTACACTTGTGTAGAACATAAATTTGCATCTTCCAGCAATGATCTAGTAACGATCAACTAAGACATTTTAATTCGCTCAATTTTCAAAGGAAAAAAAAAAAAAAAGAAACAAATGTTTGAAGAACTCGGTAGAAATCAGATTTTCAAGGTACGTATTATTGGCTGCAATAAGTGCAACGATTTCAAAGAGCAAAACGAAAGACAACCCTCGTTAGGAGGAACACGAGGAGAGCTAATCGTCGCGTTGTAACTTGTCCAGTCGCAAATATTATTTTCGCCAGATTTTCGCGCAGGCAAACAGAGTTTTAGGAGTAGAAGCAAACACAGGCTTAGGCGTACAGGTAAGGATAATAGGACACTAACTTGTGGATTGAAGGGTCTTTGCATTCTCAGAGCCTCCGGCAGCCCCCCGGCCTGTGAAAACACGACCAGGGATGGCGGCGGTAGATGATTCGGCATATACGCAGAATTATCCATCTAGAACAGATATCGCCGTGTTCCATTTCTCAATCTTCCTTGGATCACCCTTTCGCGTACCAATTCCTTTCCTCTTTTTTTCTCTCTCTTTTTGCTTTCTTTTTTCTTTTTCTTTCGACACGTTAAACGCGGTGAAAAATACATTGAAATTCGAGGAGGCAACGACACCGACAGCGACGCGACAGAGAGAAAGTCGATGAAAAGTGTGGGAAATGCGTGTTGGTTTTTGCAAGTGTCGTTCGTACCAAATCGAATATCTTTGTGGAGAGAATTTTTCATTGCTCTTTCGAGAATTTCACTTGCCGAGAGACGAATAATTCGTACTACGCTAGAATTTGTACAAGACTTTTTCCAATAGGGAAACGTGAGGGACTTTTTTCGGGTAAGTTTTTTTTTCAGGTGATATCCTTCGCTGATTCTTACTTTTCGTTCGCGTGACTGAAATTCACGTTTAAGTAAGCAGACAAAACTGCAGAACGTTAGAGTTCTGTTGCGTGTAAATTTTATCCGCTAGCCACAATAATAAACTACAAAATTGGAAAACGTAGACTAGAGGTGTTATTTTTAAAAATTCACCTCAGATTTTGTTATCATTTGTGGCATGTTTGTGCAATGAAAAGACTTGTGAAAGTAAATAGAATTGAACATTAGTCTTGACTTCTGAGAGGTTCGTTGTTGGACATTTTAAATGTTGAATGTACTCTCTTCGAATTCGAATAAAGAAACTAGAAATTGTACGTCGGAAACGGTAAGAAATTCGACTTGGTGGCAAACGCTTTGTTCAATCTACTTGGCTATTGATAAATTCAAATATTGTTTCGTTAAATAATACGGGAAAATAAAAGTGTATGAAATGTTTTAGTACAGAGATAGAAATCCGCGCGTTACGTGATTCCTCAGGCCCTCTTTCCCAACGTATGCTCCAAAATCTTCCAAAAACTTCCTTCAAACTCCAAAGAAGTTTGAACGAAATTTGCCTTCTGACCAAATTTGTAAAAATTTCTCATCCGATTAAAAATTCGCAAACTCTTACACTCGCGGTTCATCTCAACTCGGAACTAGATCTCTTTATCGTCACCGAAACGCTTAAAACGTCACGTTTAAAAATCCTCGAAAGGCGTGAAACTCGCAATTGAACGGAAAAGAGCAAACCGCAGAAATTACTGAAAAAGTTCGGACTTCACCGAATGGAAATTTTGCAAATGTGAAATCCAAGTGGCTGCTAATCAGCCAGTTCGTCACTAACCGGCTGGTAAAAACTGGAAAGTCGACGACAGAAAGAAGGGAACGACGGTAACAAACGAAGATAATGCAATCATCGTAATTGTAGCTTTTCGAGACAATCGAACACGATATAGTCAACGGCTCGGCCGTCAAATGACTTCGATTTCTTGCTTCCTTCTTGTCTTTCAACGAGAGCTATCGAATTTGATCCACGAGCGACTGCATCGATCGCGGTTGTATCAACTTTTCTTTCTCGTCAGATGAAACACGGTCGAGGAGGAGTGCCGGCCAAGAAAGTGCGCGTCGGAAGCGACCGCCAGAAAAGAATCGCCAGAGGAATCGTACGCAAACACCGAGATGCGCGATATTTCCCGATGCTTTGCCGGTGTTCGCTGTTTTGTTTGTCCAATGTAACGACGTTTAGCAAATTTTAGCCGCTCTGTGTATTATCGCCATCGAAATTTAATTACGACCCGCGTGCTACGTTACACAATAATATTGCTTACCGCTGAATTTTACCGCGGGAAAGATAGAACTGAAATTCGAGAAAGTGGTCGAATTTTACGAACGGGATGAAATTGCCGGGGCGAATAAAGAGTTGCCGTTTTAATATTCCACGTGTAATTATCGATCGCGCTCGTCGGTCAAAGCTGATCCTTGCAATATACTCGTTAAATCATGCGCTATCGACCGACCTTTTCCAGCGATTATTTACCTTCCATATAATACCGATAGATAATAGCAAACGTGAATTAACCTCGTATTTCGTAGATAATTTTACATCTCGTAAAGTTTGTCGACTTTAAATCCTCTGGTCCCGTTCCTTCTTCTTTTTTTTTCTTTTTTTTTTTTTTTTTTTTGTTTTCCATACCGAATATTTTACGGTCCGAAAATCAATAGAAAAGGAATAATACGACAAGAGTTTGTGCTCGTTAACTATCCGGTGCATTATCCCACATTTACCTTGAAATTCTTTCTATTAAAATACATTAAAATGTGCAACGATAAACGTCGTTTTTTACAAACGTCCAATCATTCCTCGATTATTCAACGTTTGCGCGTCTTTCATCGTGATAGAAAGACAATACACGTGTGACAGAATATTATCAAATCGGAGATATCAGAAGCGATTTGAAATATCGATAACGAGTCGTATAAAAGTGAACACCGGCAAAGCAACGACGCAACAGGCTAAGCCTGTTCGATCAATGCTGTCAATATTTCGCGACGAAAAATTTTACGCCGATGAAAAATAAAAATGAAATAGAAAAAAGAGAACGAAAAAGAAAAAAAAATGCGTGTGAGAATTTGTATTTCTCATACGTGTGTGTAAATTACGTGTGTAGAAACGTGTATAAAACGCGCGTATATATTAATCACCATCACGCGTACATTTTGCTGTACACTCAAGAAGTCACTGCACGAAATACGACCGTTCGAAAACATTCACTCTATTTTCACGGATCCCATTGTCCTCTTATCCGTTGCTTAGGAAACGTGTTCTTATCACCAACAGTTCCTTCGCACCAGTATCCGCATAAATCGATTTAACCGAATAACGAACCGGCGAGGCAATATCTATTCGAAAAAGGCGCGTCAGGCAGGGAACAACCTAACCTCAACGCGCGGGGTTGTCACGCGGTTCGACGGTACGGCGCAAAACTGTAACCGGACAAACTGTAAACCTCGTCTTGACAGCTGTCGGTACGTGTCGTGTGAAAACTCGCAAGTACCACGTGCAAAACGTTACTCTAAATAGCAACCGGACGACGAAAACGGCGAAACGATGGGACGCGGGTGAATTCAAATTCAAACGAACCGTATAATCCCGCCACGATAGGTCACTACGACCTAACCTCTCGACGAATGACAATACCCGACGAATACCTCAACTAGTGGCTCGATCGCCCGGGTACGGGTCTCTGGTAATGCACTAAACGTGGTGAGCCAGGTGCAAGAGAGGGGTGAATACAAGAGGAAGGCGCCAGGCCCGTGCGAGCAACCTCGTGGACATGCGAGTGCAGACTGATTGGAGTGTGAGGGTACTTACCCACGAGTCGTGAGAACGGTGGCGGTGGCGGTGGCGGTGGCGGTGGCGGTGGCGGTGGCGGTGGTGGAGGCGAGGTAGAGGCGTGGAGAAACAAACCGGCGGCGGTGCTGGCGTGCGCGCGTGTTTTCCGCCGCCATTACTGGCGCCACTGTAGCACCACTTTCGCAACGCGCACGCGCGGCATGCGCACACGCTCAATGCGCAACCGTTGCCGCGATGCACCAATGTTTAATCGTGCGCTGACTGCGCGACTGGCAACATCTTGTATCGTTTGTTCCCGACATGTCTATGCAAACTGCCTTTCTGCAGCAGTATTTTCATCGATTCGTTCCTCGGGTCCTGTGAACAAAAAATGTAGGCAGGTCTACGTGAATTGTAATAAATACGTTGGATTTTATAACTTGTTACGTGTCTAACTTAACGATCAGCAGAATGAATCGCTTATGGCTTACGTAATTGTCACTTATGGTCGTGACAGAAAGCTTTTCATTAATATTTTATGATAAAGCCAAATATGAATATGGATATTTTAAAAGACATTTCTTTTTTTCTTTTACGTAGAATGCACCGATTTTGACTGCAATTAATATACGTTAATATATGTGGAATGATATCAGTTAAACCTGGTCCTGGTGACATAAATTTAGAAAAAAATATACATCAATTATTTCTTACCCGAATTTCTCAAAGCTAGTAAGTGACAATTGATAGATGTACAAAGCATTTTTCAACAGTCTAATTTGTGTTGCAACATAACGGATGTTTGGGAACTGAAGAAATCTTTCCTTTTTATAGAAGTTTGTTGCAAAAGGCTTTGTAATTGTAATAATATGTGATAAAAAGATGTAACAATAATTCGATTTTGAAGTAAATACATCAAATTGTTGATCATTTAAAATTGTTTTACGATCATATTACATACATATTACTGTAAATTACGTTATGCAACGTAAGAAAAATATCTTTCACTGTAACATCGAAAAAGACAATTCTCATTACTGCATGTTTATTTTTATACAATTGTACAAATTACATATGAACATTTTACGGAAAGATTTTTAAACGAAAAATTCAATACAGTATTTGCAATTATTTACAATTTCTTTTGTCTTAAAATTTCTACGAACATGTGCACTAAAGTAATCAGTAAACAACTATCGATACAAATATCTAAGTATTTAAACGTACTGTAGAAAATACTGAGTTATACATAATTTTGTATTCATAACTTTTCAGATGGTGGTAAAAATAAACCAAACTATTATCTAAATGAGAAAACGAAAACGATATACTTTCTTATATAGGTACATTATTATTTTTGCAAAGAAACTCGAAATTTCATTACTGAAAAATTGTTTATGAAATGAGCGAAATACCTACGTAATTACGTAAAAATTTTAAAAACTACAAACTTTATTTTGTAACTTCCGCATGAAAAGCAGGATTCCGAATTTTAATAGGAAATACGGTTTTATATGCGATATCGAATTGTGGATTTATTCAAAAATAAAACTCTGAATGATATGTACGTAACAAAATAATCTAACAATGTATCAATCGGCATTATATTTTATCTACACTTTTCGTAAATTTCATTGTTATGAAAGACAATGTTAATCCTACTAAAAAATTTATCATTAATGTGAAAATCGAAAATTTAAAAATTGAAGAAAATACAACTAAAGTTATCAAATATATCGACATTACTTAAAAACAGTACACTGCTAACCATATTAATCATGATGCAGAACAACTGCAAATAATTTTTTTTTAAATAAATTTGGAAGCAAAATCATAAGTATACATTAAAATCTTTTAACAAATTTGCAACAAATTTTGAAATTCTTTATAAGAAAACACGAAACTAGCGTGTTATTAATATATAAATAATGATATAATGTTATAAATTTTAAATAAATATTACCATCGCATATAACTAAAATACTTCAATATAAAATACTAAGTGCTTCCCTCTATTGCGAAAAAGCTGGAGCTAAATATAGCAAGAATAGATATATTACCGATAAAAAATTTATTATCGATACATTATCGACAAAGTTAGACACCGACGAGGTACATGAATAGACGTTACCATTTTCGTGTCACATCCTGTCGTACCGATTCACCCAAGTTTCGTACCGCGAAAATCAAAAAATGTGGACAGTAATGCCAAATTTATTTCGAGCATTATTCATTGAATTGAACGTGGTGATACTTCATCAATGAAATAGATGTTTAAAACAGAGACGGATGAAAACTGAGATGAAAAATTTTGTATATATTTAATTATTAACATCCATTTAAAAATATTAGAAACACCTTATTGAAATATGATATTTTTATGAACAATACAATTAGACATAACATTTTTTTATTTACAAATTTGAAAATTTGCAACTTAAATGAATTATTTTTATCCCGTAAACTCGATTTTTATGAAAGTTTGAACTTAGGAATAAAATGAGACTCATTACCAATTAAATTCTGTCGTGTACACATCGACCAAATTTTGGAAGATTGAAAAAAATTATCAATTGTTCCTGATCACTGACGACTGAAACATACGATTAACCTTGAGTGGTAATGAGGCACATTACCAAATGAACTATCGTCGTATGCATATCGACCAAAATTTAAGAGTGAGTTTTAAATAATATGTCTGAATATTCTAAATTATTATTATCTTAAATATTACCTGTTTCTAATAAATTAAATATTAATGTTTCTAATAAATTATTAATAACCGTTTGTCATAAATAATTATTCATAACAAATAAACAATAAATTCTCTTCTACAACATTCCCAAGTTCTATTTAAAATTTTTAATTAATCATCTGTAGTAATCGAGTCACTAATACATTTCAAAGAAATTTTCATTATCTGTATCGCATTATTAACGAGCGAAAGATCCGATTAATATCAATCAACAGGGAAACAAGAGCTCATTACGAACTGAATTTTTCTCCTGTGGACATCGACCAAATTTAGAAGTTTGAACGAAATTATCAACTGTTCTGAATCACTGACAACCGAAATATACCTTCACCTTGAGCGGAGAAGCTCAATTCGAAGCTTCATTACCAATTGAACTTCCGTCGTGTGCACATCGACAGAATTTTAGAAATTTGAAAAAAAATTATCAACTATTCTGGATCACTGACGACCAAAACATATAATTAACCTTAAGGAGTACAAAAGCTCATTACCAATTGAATTTTCGTCGTGTGCACATCGACCAAAATTTAGGGGTGAGTTTTAAATAATATTTCTGAATAATCCAATTGTTTAAATATTATTTAATATTTCTAATATTTTATTTGTAACAATTAAACAATAAATTCTCTACCATAACATTTTTGAGTACTATTTAAAATTTTTAATTAATCATTTGTAATCGAGTCACTAATACATTTCTAAGAAATTTTCATCATCTGTGTCGCATTATTGATGATCGCAAAATCAGATTAATGTCAATTGATACGGAGAGCTCATTACGAACTGAATTTTTCTCCTGTGCACATCGACCAAATTCAGAAGTTTGAAAAAAATTATCAACTGTTCTTCCGGGGCACGGGACGATCGGAATATTAAAATAACCTTCAACGGTACGGAGACTCATTACCAACTGAACTTCGACTAAAATTTAGGAGTGAGATATAAACAATATTTCTGAATATTCTAATTGTTTAAATGTTATCTAATATTTCTAATAATTTATTTGTAACAACTGAACAATAAATTCTCTTCTATAACATTTCTAACTTCTGTTTAAAATTTTTAATTAATCATTTGTATTGATCGAGTCACAAATACATTTTTATGAAATTTTCGCATCGTCAACAACCGAAAGATCGGATTAATGTCAATCGATACGGAGACAAGAGGTCATGACGAATTGAATTTTTGTCGTGTACACATCGACCAAATTTAGAAGTTTGAAAAAAATTATCAACAGTTCCGGATCACTGACGATCGGAATATCGGAGATATACTCATTACCAGTTGAACTTCCGTCGTGTGCACATCGACCAAAATTTAAGAGTGAGTTTTAAATAATAATATTTCTGAATATTCTATTTGTTTAAACATTATCCAGCATTTCTAATAATTTATTTATAACAATTGAATAATAAATTCTCTTCTATAATTGTTTAAACATTATCTAGTATTTCTAACGATTTACTTGCAACAATTAAACAATAAATTCTCTTCTAAGTAATGCTTCTAAGTGTAATTTAAAATTTTTAATTAATAATTTATAACAATCTTGGACAAAGACACTATTTAAGAGAAGTGACTTTGAAAGTGATTCATGAAAGTGTAACCTTGCGATAGAAATCGAAAAACTATTGATTAGTATAATAGAAAAATACTTTGGAAAAACTAAAAAAAAAAAAATTATCAACAGTTCCGGGTCACTGTCGATCGACAATAAATTAACCTTCAGCGGTACGGAGACTCATTACCAATTGAATTTCCGTCGTGTGCACATCGACCAAAATTTAAGAGTGAGTTTTAAATAAGTGTCGGCAACCAAACCATAATCTACAATTCTGACTTCGGCGATTGGTAAGTTACATGGTGTGGTTTCTTTGGTGTTGGGTTAATACTTGATCGTGATTATTTGAACCTGAATACGAGTACAATTTCCATGACTTGTATCGTAGTCGTACATGATATACTTTATTGGTTACCATTCTTTAACAATTACCGTGATATACGTTATATTTCTGCATATATATAAATAATATTAGTTTAACAATACTATTGCTATTTAAATATTATTAGATACTTTCAGAATTTCTCTTTGAATCTATAATTTGCAAAATAATTTAGTCCCTTACTATTAATTAGTCAAACAAGAATATTTTCTCAATATCTTAAATTAGTCATTAGATCGATCAAACAATTATGCCTTATTTTACGAATACCACTTCTCTTTCTAACAAATTACTTAAATTC